TTTTTGCACTATCGATTAGTGTACACTTTAAGGGATATTTTCAAAAAAAAAAAATTTTTTTTAACACAAGGAGAAGTCGGTTTAATAGTCATTTGTTTATTGCAAAATTAATTTTTTATTAATAAATTACATTTTTTTTCTGCAAACGATATGGTTTTCTATTCTACTAATAATTATGAACATGCCATTAAATTTTCACTAATTTTTATCAATTAGTTGCTGAGAAATTGTCATTTTAACAAATAATCGCCTTAAAATTCAATTGTTTATAACTTTTTCAAAAATTAAAATTTTTTAAAAATATTTTGGGATATTACTTATAACATATGAATCTTTAGAAGTCGTCAATAAAAAATACGAAATTCGACGGGTCGATTTTTGGTGGCCCACTTCAGAAAGTTTGACTCATTATTGAAAAAAAGATTTTTATTCACTGTTCTTTTTACTTAATAAATACTAATTAGTTTAACATTACTCTCTCTTTAAATAACAAATTATAAATGACTTTTTTTACATTATATTATAGATTAAATTAATGTTATTTAAGTAATTAACTCATTACATTAAGCAATTGCATAAAAGTAATTATAAAAAATATTTTTTATATTATATATTATATATAAAGTATCTACTAATAATAAAAAATATATATATATTATATTAAGTAACACGCTATTAATTTAACTTCTCAAGTTTACGTAAATATGTAAAATAGTGTTTCTTTGCGCAATGTCTCATTTATCTTTATAATATAAACGCATGAGTATTTAAAAGCGATTACGTTTATTAAAGAATAAACATAATTTCTGATAAAATTGGATAAATTGATATGAAAGTACGACCACAGTCCAGTCAAAGTAAACATATTACTTATATATTTAGGACAGTAATATTACATTTATACTGTGCGTGTTTTTGCGTATAATTTTACTAAGGATAAATAATTCAACAAAGGGGACTCTCCCCCTTTCACACGATGATGTGGTTTATTATGTCACATGATACTCTCTCCTCCCCTCTCTCTCTATCTCCCCTTTCTGATATATCTATTGATCATGATGTTGTTTGGAATGCTGATGACTGTGACACACTACGTTGCTAAAGCTATTATCATCTTTTAAAATCTTTTTTATTGTTTCAAAATGGATCAATAAAAAGGAGTTAAAAGGATGAAATATGAAATAGTAACGTGTATTAACCATAATTCTTTTTTATGATTAAAAAATCTGTTTATTAGATTCGTGTTGCGGCATATTATTTGGCAGCAGCCGTGTGTAACTATTTCGAGTCCCATGTATACGTATTCCCTCGAATTTAGTGGACATCCATTTGTGTAGATATGCCGCGCTGGTAAAAATAGTAAACTCAGTGGAGTTAGTTGCGTATAATCGCTTCATTACGAAACAATTCTTTCACAAAATATCGCTATATACACATTAATGGGTGCAACTTAAGAATATTTTGATATATCATAATACCGTATTTCTCATTAAATTTGATCATTCGACATTTCTAAGATTTATATTAAACTATGTATATTTTAAAAGTTTAAATCATTAGATTTATACAACATAGCTATAATATTTTTAACTCGCAATGAAAACACCAGATTCATAGCTTTTAAAAGTTTTTAAATTTTTATGTTGTTAAAAAAATTATACTTTTCCAACAAGAATAATATAGAGCTTAAAGAATTCTAACTATTTAATCATCAAACAGCTTCTTCGAACACATGGATGATAAGCCGGCTTTAATATCAAAAGTTTGAAACTAACAATGCAAACTTTGACTTTACCGGATTATCTTCGTAAAGTCGTATTAAAACAACGATAGATTTAAAGCCACTGTAGCAATTCTAATCCCGTGGAAGTAATCCACCAGTGTGAAGGAGCATAGTAGAGAGCTATATGATTCGACAAAAAGAGAGAAACGGACAGACAGCGGAATCTTGAAGCAAGAAACGAGAAGCAAGCGACGGGGCGTTGCGACCAGAAATAGAAAAGCGGTACGAGAGGAGAGCCGCTAAGTATCAGCCAGGGTGGTGTTCCATGTGAGTCTCTTCGTCGGATCGGACTCGGTAGTTCGCATCGAAGCATGCCACGCGGCATCTCAATGAGATCCTCCCTGAGGAGCCGAGATTCATCCTCGACGTCGACCGGGATCGATCCTCGTGAACGCATCAAGGACTGTTGCCGAAAACTGGTGGCTTTCATGTGCACTCAAGTCGGCGTGGGTGGTCTGGTAGTGGGCTATGCCATTGTGGGTGCTTTTGGCTTCATATCGATTGAGTCTCAGATCGATCCAACGATAACAGTGTGTGTACAGGATGATATACGTCGGGAATACGCCAACGAATTGTGGCTGAGCACCGCTAGCAATCAGTCGGTGAATGTATTCAATCAGACTGCCTTCTACGTAGTGTCCAATAGTATTCTACAACGTTACCAAGAAAATATTACCGAGAGGAAACGTCAGAAACTAAACTGCAATGGTCTAACACCTCAAGATATCTGGACATTCCCAGCAGCGTTGATGTTCTGCCTCTCAGTGTTCACTATGATCGGTTATGGCAGTTTGGTGCCGAAGACCCAGTGGGGTAAAGGCGCCACTGTAATCTACGCTGTGCTAGGCATTCCATTGTACGTGCTCTACTTCTTGAATATGGGCAAGGTGCTCGCACAAACCTTTAAATGGCTTTATACGCAACTGCATGAGTGCACCGGTCAGCGGAAGCCTGGACAGAGAGTTATCGTGCCCTCGACTGCTTGTCTTTGGGTGATATTCGGCTACATAATCGTCGGTTCAATCATATTTGCCGAGTGGGAAGGGTGGAACTATCTGGACAGTACTTACTTCTGCGTCACCTCGCTCTGCAAGATCGGTATGGGCGACCTAGTTCCAGGCTGGAGCCATTCTACGGAAGACAGTCAGACAAAGCTCATCATTAACTTTGTGTACATGTTGTTGGGCATGGGCTTAATGGCTATGTGCTATAATCTGATGAAGGAGGAGATATACGTGAAGGCTCGAGAACTTAAGGAACAGCTGAATCAAATTATGGATATTATTCATTATAAATTAATAACATGTTGTAAATCGGAACCTGCGGATTAAGGAGTAAAAAAAATGATTCACAGGATAAAGTTGATGAAAGTTATAAATAATGCCAAAATATATAATAAGACAATTCAAAAGCAATAATGAAACGATAAAAATTTGAACTATTTAAAACCTCTTATCAAAGAGAAGATTTCTCTGTAATTTTTAATGAAAAGTTCCACAAATATAAGAAAAAAACAAGATATTATAGAATAATATCTATATTTCAATTTTAATATCTTAGAGATGTTAAGAGATTTTCATCTAAAAAATAAGTTGTCCCATTTCCAATCTATTGTTAAATAATTACTGAAATTTATAGGGATAAATAAAAATTATGAAATAAACGCTGTAATTTTCAAATACATTTTACAACTAATTATAAAATTTGTAATTTTTGTTACGTTATTGTATTAATTATTAATGTTATTGCAAAAATAATAAGATTATAAGTATTTTCATGTTTGATAAACTTAAATACGGATAGATTAAATGTATAACTCCCAGGTACTTTAAAATAGTTTGCTCGCGAAGCACAGATCGTGATTTAATAGCTGTCAATAATACTACCATAAAATCGATATTACATCACTTATATTATAAATAATAATATGATGGAGATGACGATGCGCAAGTTTACATATTGATCACTAGAGATATTAGTCACTATGTATATCAATTCTTGCGACAGATTATTTGCGTTCCCTGATATTGGAAATATTAAAATATAATCTTCTTATATATATTTAGCATGTCAGAATTATCAAGACTTTTCTGCAAATAATAAAATAAAAATTGTAGAATATGCAAAAATTGAATATGCTAGTCACATTAAAACAAAATAAAAAGAATTATTAACAAATTTTAAAATTGCATTTAATTCGTAATATACATGATACTTTCATTTAAATATTAATAAAAAGTAATTTTACCTTATTTAAAAAAATACCGTATTAATTTTATTTTTTATTAAGCGTACAATTATATTATTTATTTGATGCAAGAACGAGCTCTATTTAGTCATTTAATTATAAAAATTAATTATAAAAAGCGCGCGCGCGAAAGAGAGAGAAGTTATAATTGTCTTACTCATAAAACAATACTCTGATCATGAATATCCCATTAATGCAACTATATATGGTTTTGCTTATATATGGTTTTGTTAATTTATTACGAATTTAAAGATAACAGAAATTTATTAAGCTACCGAAATGTCTGTTATGATTGTAGACATGGCTATATGAGAATATATTGATCTGACACAGGACATGTCAACCACAAAATAATTGTGCTACCGATTATCAAGAGTATAGTCACTCCGCTAATTTATTGATCATGATAATGTCTAGCACAGTAAATTAATGAGGCTGCAATGACCTCGCCGAGAGAAATGATGCACATATGTAGGTAATTTATTGCGTGTATTGTTATATACATTCCACAAAATGATTTGTACGATTTCCTGGAAATAAAAATATATATTGCTAAAAGGATAAACTTTATTTTAATATATGATTCTTATTTTTATAACTACGTACATGTACTTATGTGCTATTTTACTAAACATATATCGAAAAGATATCTGTTGTATTTTGTTCACAAGATGTGTTTTGGTATTACGATTAATATTAGAGATGCATCGGATATTTAGAAATATTCGGATATTTAGAATATTCGGTCTTTTCTGCTGAATTTCTTGCACAGTTCATCTTCTCTTCTTTTCTTTTTACGTTGGAAAGATAGAGAAAATTATATATGCAAGAGTACATATATATATATATAAAATTTACATTAAATTATTTAAAGCATTAAAGATCCAGCTTTAACTGTTACGGCTAGTATTTCCTATTTTTTTATATTTATTGAGTTATATTTTCTTTTATTAACCTTTTTTCTTTTAAAAGATTTTTTTCAAATATCCGACAGAATATTCAGAGAAATACGGTATCCGGCCGGATAATTGTTTTACCAGGTATCCAAAAACAATATAATTCGCCGGATGTCCAATACCTGATAATTTTATACACGATCTCTAATTAATATTATATTAATATTTTATTATTAAATTATTATACTATATAATACACATTTAAAATTAATAATGATTCGTCTGTTGTTTATATTTTCATCTTAAGTGTTATTTACAAACAATAAACTTTTTGTTTTAAGTATTAAAATTTCAACAGGCTCGTAGCCCTTCTCAACTTTTATTTAACTAACATTTTATTTTATTAAACGTACTGTATTGCAAATCAATGTTTTATTTTCATATATACTTTTTTAAAGAGATATTTTTAAAACTTAAACAAATATGATTAAAAATAAAATAGAAATCTATTACTAACAAATCTTTAATTTTATTGAGTTTTATACAGTAGAGTTATAGATGTCTAATTTTCTATTTAGTGTACTATACCACTTATACATATATGCTTATATGCTATACCTCTATGTCTGCCTTGAAATAATAATCCAGTACGATCACAGAAATAACCCAACTCGAAACTGTCATGATTCTCAATGAGTCACTTTGGTTTCGCTGCAAATGCTTAACGGAGAGCGTTATCTATATAACCTCAGACTATAAAATTTCTAAAGAGATGTCTGTACCTCATATCTATATTTTGAACAAAAATGCTGCCATGCTTAACGGAGCAAATGTTTAAAACACTGCAAATGCTTAACGGAAAGCGTTATCTATATAACCACAGACTATAAAATTTCTAAAGAGATGTATATACCTGATTATATCTATATTTTGAACAAAAATAAGAATCTTATTTGCTATACCTTGGTGCTAGAATTTATTAAATCTTGAATTTAATGTATATACTTCATGATACATGAAATTATAAATTTTCTCTTGTGTATTATTGATAAAAAATTTCCACAAATTTATCATATTATATGTGATTATCTATTCCTATGTAATTATAAATTTATTGATAAATGATTATCAATTTCATAAATCAGCGCAACCTTTCTTTTAAATTGAGGACTATTCTCAAATATAGGTAAAATCTTGTGAGCCGTATAATGTTTATTTCGGATAATGAGCGGTTTCATAAATCATCAAAAATTTATTATACAAATGTGTAATGTGACAAATATAATTGTAGTAATAATAGTTAACTTAACTTTTTATAATAAAAGCATGTATATCGCATAGTTCTCTACTTTATCCACCTTTAATAAGGTCGCTTCATGTAAATACAATGCATTTATTGAGCGCAGATAAAAGATGCCTTAACAATATTTTAGGCCTCAATTGATTTGTTTATAGTATTTAAAGAAATAAATATATTATTCATGCAAAGGGAAATACAGTTTTCTAATATAAAAACTGAAATATTAATACAAAATACAATCTATATATGTAAGCTAAAAAAATTAGAATATTTAATATATTATACTTCGACTTTAATGTTAATATATAAAATGTAATTAGATATGTTTTTATAAAACAACTTTAATGAAAAAAAGTACAAAAAGTATAAAAAAAGATGAAAAGTAATTGTACAAATTTAATTCTAAATGTTTAAAGCCCAGTTGCACACATCAATGTTATTTTGATTTTAATCAAAATTTAAAATTCTATCTATCTCGTTTTAAAGTCGAAAGCGAGATAGAAGAGAGATAGTTTAAGTCTGACTTAAAATCAAATCACGTTGGTGCAATCGGGTCTAAAACACTCTCTCTATTAAATATATATTCTTTATTTTAAAAAAAGTAAATGTTAAATCCATAAATGCGTGCTCATAAAAGTGTTAGGATAGATAATAAGTATTATATTTTATGTGATATAAAATAACGAGTCGTATGAAAACGTTTTAGTGATCGGAAAGGAACATTCATAAGTTTCAACGAGAGTAATGTAGGTACACAGACCGTGCAAGCTTCCAGAATTAGTGCTTTTAATTAGTTGTTTTTATTAGTTGATTTAAACTTTCATTACGTCATCCACAATTAAATTCAAAACAATTTAGCTGAGTATTATTCTAATTCAAATTAGATATAAGTGTTAATATAAATATTTATATTATATACTATAGATAGCAGTTGTGTTATATCTTAATTATGTAATTCACAATTGATTGATCAGGTTCTCAGGTAATGATATAATATAAAATAGTGATATAAGATAATGATAAATAGTTAAATTAATTAGAATTTATGTATTTATTAGCGTTATTAACATTATAATCATGTTTTTCGTTATAATACAATACAATCCCTTAATAATTTTTTTTATAATTATATTTTGTCAAATTATGAAGCAGTAAATTATCTGTAAATGTTTGTATATATACTGTAACATATTAAATATTAAAAATAATAAGTAGTACGTATAAATCTAAAAATCAAAAAATAATAAGTAGTACATATATAAATCTAAAAGTCAAAAAATATCTGTAAAAATAATACAGCACGCAAGAGCATCATATTTATTACAATATACAATTGCAAACGTTTAAATGTCGTTTCTTTCAAGAATGAAAGAGTATTAGTGTAACAATCGAATCACACAATTACATTTCAAATCTCGGCAGAAAATGCACAAGGGAGTTACCTCGATGACAAGTTGGCACGGTTGTCGAATTGTTGAAATTTGCAGTGGAGTCCTTGCAGATGTCCAAGCTACCGGCGCAATTTGTCGGGTTGTCCTCACTTGGCATCTGAATGCAAGCAGACTGCAGTTCTCCAGGATTGCCGAATCACTACGGAATTCTGCCTCCGTTAGTCGATCTTCGTCGTGTACATGAGTGATGTGCTTATAGAGATGTGTAAAGAGCTCTAGCCTGATAATATCAGCAAAGTGGACAATCAGGGACGCCGACATCGTGGTACCAATCAGTTGAACATTATGTATTTATGTAATCAAAGTCACAGCTATACACACATTTACAAACGATAATCCTCTTTAAAAGATGAATCTTATTGATCATATATGGTCTTTTAATCATTGCATAATATATTGTATATACATACACTTTATAATTTTTATTTTATATTTATATATATTATATATGTATATTGTACATTTTATTAGCTGATTTCAATACAGTATCTTCTCCAATTA